ATGCTAATGAAGATAACTGCTAATAATGTCACCTAATAACAATGCTAATGCTGCTAATGAGGCTAACGCTGCTATTAATACAATTAGTAACAATGTCAACGTTGCTAATGATTCAATTCAGTTCATTTATATAGCGCCAATTCACAACACAATTCATCTCAAGGCACTTTACAGTTCAACCAGATCATAGAGTCAAATTGATTCAAGGTTTTCTATCTAAGGAAAACCAGTTGATTGCATCGACTCATTGACCCAAACAAAATCACTCACACTAAGCATGCTTTTAGCAACAGTGGAGAGGAAAAACTCCCTTTTAACAGGAAGAAACCTCCAGCAGAACCAGGCTCTGTGTGAGTGGCCATCTGCTGAGGCCGACTGGGGTTCAAGGAGACAGAAGCAGAGATACAAATGATGCCACCTAGTAACAATGCTAACGCTGCTAATGAGGCTAATGAGCCTATCAATGCCAATGTTGCTAATAATGCCAACTAATAACTATGCTAATGCTGCTACACTACTAATAATGTCAACTAGTAATGATACTAACGTTTCTTATAATGCTAATAAATCTAACTCTGCTATTAACTAGTAACAATGCAAACACAGGTAATAATGCCAACTAGTAATGCTGCTAATGAGGCTACACTAATAATGCCAACTAGTAACGCTGCTAATGATGCTACACTACTAATAAAACCAACTAGTAATAGTGCTAATAATGCTAATGAGGCTAACACTACTAATAATGCCAACTAGTAATGCTGCTAGTAATGCTAATGAAGATAACACTGCTAATAATGTCACCTATAACAATGCCAATGCTGCTAATGAGGCTAACTAGGCTAACGCTGCTATTAATACCAACTAGTAACAATGTCAATGTTGCTAATAATGCCAACAAGTAACTATGCTAATGCTGCTACACTACTAATAATATCAACTAGTGATGATGCCAACGCTTCTTGTAATGCTAATAAAGCTAACTCTGCTATTAATGCCAACTAGTAACAATGCAAACACTGCTAATAATGCCAACTAGCAGCTATGCTAATGCTGCTACACTACTAATAATGCTAACGCTGCTAATAATGCTAATGAAGCTAACTCTGCTATTAATTCCAACTAGTAACCCTGCTAATACTAATGCTAATGTGGCTAATGCTTCTATTAATGCCTGTCATTACCTGATCCGTACCGGAAGCACGATCCGTACCATCAGCGTACCATCAGCTCATTTGCGCGTGCGCAAACAGAATAACTTCCGGTGGCAATATTTCCTTTTTCTT